GCTGGCGAAATAACGAAAATCATTTATGTAGTATGATGAGTTTATGTAATTCGTGGACCGATTTCACATATTTTATTTTTTATACGGTATAAAGCCATGGGCGAAAGGGGTAGTATTAACTATTATTTTATTTATTTTTTGCATTACTACATATTAAGTTGAAAATCCTGATATAAGTTATATGGGGGCTAAGGCAAGTCTTCACCCGTTTCAATCCATTTTAGGCACATAGATGCACCTTTATTAGAAAAACATGCGCCTGATCAATTTGATTAAGTTAACTCACATATTGACCGATATATGCGTTATAAAGTCAACCGGAGGTTCGAAAATCTTTCTATTAGGTATATGGGAGTTAAGAGAAGTACTGGCCCGATTTAATACATTTATGACATACACACATAATATTATCAGGAAAGGGTTCTCGCCGTATTCGAATTATATATCTTATACATTGAACGATAATTTCGGTAAAAAGTCAACCATGGTCACTTGGATCCACATCTTCGCTATAAGGGGGCTTGAACAATTAAGGCCCGATTTTGACAATTTTTAGATTTGAGATGGCATATCTTGAAGGCAGTCTTGTTGCAAAGTTGTATTTCAATATATTCATCAGACAAAAAATCAGATGGAGTTTAAATATGTGTTTTATGGAAAGTAGGCGTGGTTTTAATCCGATTTCATCTAGTTTTGCCTTGTAACATAGGTATGTCAGGTCACTTACCAAATTTGGTTGAAATCGGTCAAGCAAATTCCGAGATATGGGTTTTCATCTTAACGTGGGCGGTGCCTCACCCATTGTCCAATTTTTGTATTGTTTCCTATAAAGCTTAATTGTACCATTCTATGTGTAAAATTTAAAGCCTCTGACTTGTTTATTTAATGAGTTAACACACTCTTAATAGTTTTAAACAAAACCGTTATATGAGGGGTGGGCGAAGTTATCACCCGATTTCGCCCCATTTTCCTAGTTAAAAAAAAATTTTAACTGAATATGCCACTCCCTAATGCGATTTGTTGTACAAGAACAGACTTATATGTTATTATGGAGCTTAGTTAGTTTTCGATTAATGGCGTTTTGTGGGCGTGGCAGTGGTCCGAGTACCAACCTTCTTATGGGGCCAAGACCTATGCTAATTCTGACATTCTCACCAAAATTTTTCGACATTCTTGCTTCACTAATAGAAAAGAAAGCACAAACTTTTGCGATCGACAAACGAGTGTATGAAAACAAGAATCATATAAAATACCATACTGCAAACTGGCGAACATAGAACATAAGGACTGATTAATTGCATATACATTTTATTAGGGAGCACTCATCACTTTATTTTGATCTTTATGACACTTGAGATTAGAAGGATAACTAAAAATTCTCTGTAATATTCTTTATAAAACATTCGTTATACGAAAAACAAAATTTTCATAAAGTTGAATTTTTGATCTGCGAAAATGAGGTGTGGGACTATCGTCGAGCGGATGTGGAATAACGAGTAAGTGATTTCGATTAAATTCACGTACGAGGGCTGCTATATAGCTGGCTGGCCTAGGCAACACTTAGTGTCTGTGTGTAGTCTGACATTTCCATTGGAAAGTTTGACATTTTTTAGCATAACATCACTCAGAACGTTTTGTCATTTAATCGTGAATTGTTTTATTTACAGGGAATTAAAAAATTCATCTCGGCCAAAAAATGGAATTAACTCGTGAACATTTTCGTGCGATCATTTTTCACAACTTTCGACGTGGATTATCACGACAAGAGTGCATCGATGAACTAAAATCTTTGTATGGCTATGAAGCACCATCCTATAGCACTGTGAAAAACTTATACAACGAATTCAATTGCGGCCGACGCCCGCTCAAAGACGAATTCTGTGAAGGTCGTCCAAAAACAGCCGTTGTGCCAGAAAACATCGATGCCGTACGTGAACTGATAATGCAAGACCGTCATGTAACATACCTTCAGATAGAGGCATGCCTATGCATTTCTCCCACCAGCATACCTTCGATATTGCATGAACACCTGGCCAGATCTCGTTGGATCCCGCACAATTTGACAATCGCTCAAAAAAAGGCTCGTGTGGATTGGTGTAAAGAAATGCTGAAAAAGTACGATCGCGGTGCTTCAAAAGACGTTTATAAGATCGTCACAGGTGACGAATCATTGATCTATGCGTATGAGCCCGAAACAAAACAGCAATCGACCGAAAAAAAAAACCATTTTCGTTGATAAATATTCGTATTTTCATTATTAGGCCAGAAATATATAATATATAGCAGCCCTCGTATAGGATCGCTGTGGTGTGGTGAATTTCTCGTTAAATTTCCAGAGTTATATTTCCAGAATGTCTATAAAATCTATGTATCCTTGCTTCATCAATCAGGGCCTTAAGAGACTACTCGCCTCTTCCAATCATGCCTCAGATTGCAAAGTTAAAATCTTCTATGAGATTTGAAATATTTAATGCCAACTATACATTATCTTGCAACATCTTTCATTTCAACTTAGTACATATATTGCAGTTTCACACATATATGTATATATGTATATAAGTTTGCATATGTAATAATTAATGTGTAAATACTTGTGACTGGTTCGTGCTTTGACGTCGATTTCTCTTGAATGAGATTCGGTAGCTTTTGTCGCTCTTTGGCGCTTGAAAATCCCTTTGTTTTAGTGTATTACCTTTGTTGTTGTTTAGATTGATTGCTGATGATGCAGTTGTTATTGTAATTTATGTGCTGTTGCTACTGCATTGCATTCTCCCAGTGTATTTTTTTTCTTGGGTTGTTGTTGTGTTGTCTATTATCCTCTTTGTTGTTGTGCGCTGTTTTAATTCTTGGCTGTATGAAATTGCTTTTGTTTCGCCTCATTTTCGGCTTGCTGGCGTTGTCGTTTTTTCTTTGTCATTTACAAATCCCTCTCAGTTGTAGTTTGCTGAACAATTGCATTCATACATACGTACTTATGTGGGTGGGTATGTTCATACAAAGCTGTGTACGTGAGACTTCATTCCAGGTGGGTGGGTTGTGGCAACTTGCGGGCTATCGCCATGCAACATTGAGTAAGTCTTAGCGCTTGAAAACAATAGCAAGCAGAAAGCCGATTTACTCTAATAAAGACGGTAATACGAGGTTTGTTCGAAAAGTATTGCGAATTTTGAATTTTTGCGGGCTACGTGCTTTCTATTTTTAATTGTTTTGTTGCGCTATATTGATACTCATATCCCTTACCTATGTTGACAAGGGCGGCCACTAAACATTCGATTTCTTAATTTTTGACAGCTGTTTTGTTTGGCCGTGTTTTGGATCGTCTTCGATTTTTGCGTATTTTAAAAAAGGAATCAAAGAATTTGTATAAAATTTTGTGTGATAACATGATTCGTCACCAATTATGACCCTCTGGAGCGGATCTGGGTCGTCAACGCGACTCTGTTTTTGGTGTAAATTGAGCAATTTTGACACAAACTTGGCGACCCAACTTATACCCAAATCATTGGCACGAGACAATCGATATGATTAGTTCCTCAGCAATTTCTCTAATAGTAATTCGACGATTGGCCAATAGTATTTTCTTCACTTCATTAATGCTTCCGTCTGTTGCTGACGTCCTCGGGCGTCCTACATGCTCTTCGTAGTTCACATCTTCTCGAACCTTTAAGAACATTTTATACCACTGATAATCGCTGATAATCGTTGCTTTTGTCCAAGGTAGTTTCACCATATGTCATATAGTCAACAATCGGAATGCATCCGCGCACTTAATTTTGTATTTCACACAAAGTTTTAAACAAAGTCTTTGATCTATTTTGTAAAATAAGCAAAAATCGAAGACGAACGAAAACGCGTCCAAGCAAAACAGCTGTCAAAAATTAACTAAACATTCAAAATGGTAAGGGATATGAGTACCAACATAACACAACAAAATAATGGAATACGCGTAGCTCATGAAAATTCAAAATTCGCGCTACTTTTAAAAAAATCATGTAGATCATCTCCCCGATGCTGTTCATACGCCCGCACACATCTAAATCTTTTCGATGCAGTTTTTGAAGAAAAGTAGCAAAGTTGCGACTTACAAATTTACAAATTATGTGCGCTTGTAGAGTGCAGTGTGCCAGATTCCAAAATGCATAGTTGAAGCTCAACAAACAACACACATCTGTTGGAAAATGTTAAATCATGAACCCTCAAAGTAAGGGCGGCAGTGTGGTTCAATCTACTGATATATCTACAATGAGTGACGTTTTGATTGCATTCTGTACTTTTGATTGAAATAGTATTTTTCTCTAATGACTTATTTCTGTATTTTCCGGACTATGGAATAGTTTTGGAATATATTTGGGAATATATATGTTTGTCGAGAGGTTAATATAACAATTAAGTTGCGGATATACTCGTATATATATACCCTGAACAGGGTATATGAGTATTAAGTTTGCCACGAAGTTTGTAACACATTGATGGAAACGTCGGATACCCTATAAAATACCGTCTGTATAACCGCGAACTAGTCCCTCAGGTTTTGAAGTATCGATCTGAATTGATATTTTGTACATGTCCTTTTCTCTCCAAGAAGCTCCTCATTTGTCTCAACCGCCATTATCGGATCATTATAGCATATAGCTGCCAAACAAAGTGAACGATCGGCATTGTGCTTGGAAAGACTTGTGTTATTATCCAAGGCAACAGTGCAATCTCCGAAGAAATTGTTCATATTGGATCACTATAGCATATAGCAATCATACAACTGACCGATCGGTGTCAAGTTCTTGTAAGGAATATTTTGTATTTATGAAGGGTGTTATAGCTTCGATGGAACCGAATTCAGCGTTTTTTCATGTTATAAATTGAAATGCCACATATTATGAAGTAAAAGTTAAATTTGTATATCGGTATAAGTATATCATATTTAGTATGCGACTCTCGATTTTAATCGCATTTGCTAGTCGAAATTTTAATTAAATTCCTCCTCTCTCTCTGTTTCATTGCAGGAAAATGTTTATCGGCGGATTAAGTTGGCAAACCAGCCCAGGTAAGTGCAATAAATACACATATGCACACGCACACACTTTTGTCAACATTAATGAAATATGTACTATAGAGCGAGGGTTGGGAATAAAGATGCTCTACATGCATGACAAGCATACATACATATCCACACATATGTGCATGTAAATAAAGTGGCGTGTTGTAGTTGCAACGACTCAATGAAATTGCAACAAACAATTTGCTTTTCCAAAATCCAAGTATGAGTGAGTACATGTGGGTGTGCCGACGTGCAGTGTGTTGAAGGTATACGCTGCATCTGTGAGGTGACCCAGCCGCAGCGTAATTCAACGACCCGCGACGACCCAAATCGCTTAATTACGCAAATGCTGCTAAGTAAGCATTGTTGCAAGTATCTAACTGCTTTGCAACAGCGACCATATGCCAGGGCTTACATATATACATAGATACGTATATGCATTCTCGTAACGGTACAAGTACACAGTGAGCCGCTCAAAGCAAATGCTAATAATGATTTTAGTAGAGCAATTCCGTTGGGTTTTGCTTCAATCACTTGTTTTGCATATGTATGTATGTGTGTGATAGTGTGCAAATTAGATGATTTCTCCTACAACAATTAACACAAGTATCTGAAGTCATGCTACGTTGTATGGTGGTGTCTTCATATTTTATTGTTGCTTTTTCAATAATTTTGACTGCGCAATTCCCGCGTCATGAAAAGCGCTGTTGCATATGCAGCCAATACTCATCAGCTTCTCTCCAGGTGTCAGTTACACAAACACCCATACATACATATTTACTGAATCTCACGATTTCGACAGTGGTTATCACTTTGCAAAATACGAATGCACTTATGCATACACCGTTAGAAATTTCTGAATTCGTTACGAGAAATTTTGTAATAATTTATATTTACTTTTTATACCCTCAACAGGGTATATTAATTTTAACACTAAATAGGTAACGTCGGAGACCCTATAAAGTATATATGTATATAATGATCAGCGTGACGAGCTGGGTTGATTTAGCCATGTGAGTCTGTTCATTCGTCTGTCTGTAAATATGCGAACTAGTCCCTAAGTTTTTGAAATAACGATTGATTGCACCAAGAAGCTGCTCATTTGTCAGAACGGCCGATATAGGATCACTTTAGCATATAGCTGCCATACGAACTGCACGATCACAGTTCTTGTAAGGAATCTTTGTATTTGTGAAGGGTATTATAGTTCCGGTGCAACCGAAGTTAACGTTTTTATACTCTCGCAACCTGTTGCTACAGAGTATAATAGTTTTGTTCACCTTGTCCAATGGTTGTTTGTATCACTTAAAACTAATCGAGTTAGATATAGGGTTATATATATATAAATGATCAGGATGAAGGGACGAGTTGAAATCCGGGTGACTGTCTGTCCGTCCGTGCAACTGCCACTGCCACGCCCACAAAACGCCATTAATCAAAAACAATTAAATTGCCATAACTAAGCTCCGCAATAAGATACAAGACTGTTATTTGGTACAAAAGATCACATTAGGGAGAGGCATCTGCAGTTAAAATTTTTTTTAAAGTGGCCGTGGTCACGCCCCTAATAGGTTTAATATGCATATCTCCTAAACTGCTAATGCTATAATAACCAAATTCTCTGAAAGCAAATATTTTTAGAACCTCTACCTACAGTGTGAAAATAGTTGAAATCGGGTGGCAACTCCGCCCACTCCCCATATAACGGTGCTGTTAAAAACTACTAAAAGCGCGATAAATCAAGCACTAAACACGCCAGAGACATTAAATTTTATCTCTGGGATGGTATGAGATGACTTTATAGGAACCGCGTTCAAAATTAGACAGTGGGCGTGGCACAGCCCACTTTTAGGTGAAAACCCATATCTTGAGATCTGCTTAACCGATTTCAACCAAATTCGGTGCATAACGTTCTTTTCATGTTTCTATGTCATAGTGCGAAAATGGGCGAAATCGGACTACAACCACGCCTATTTCCCATATAACACCATTTTCAATTCCATCTGATTCTGTCACTTTCCACTATGCATATCAAGCAACAATGATTATATCGGGGTAAAACTTTGCGTGAATAATACGTTTAAAGTAGGCCACCTTGTGACCAAAAATTGTCTAAATCGAACCAAAACTGTTCAAGCCCCTAAGTACTAAATATGTGGACCCCAGTGCCTATAGTTGACCTTCTACCGAGAATATCAGTCAATCCACAAAGAAATCTCAAACGAGTATACCATTTGACTTTGCGAGAGTATAAAATGTTCGGTTACATCCGAACTTAGCCCTTCCTTACTTGTTTCTTGTAAAGTTTTAAATTAAACAATTTATAATATTCTTTATTTCGGCATCTTCTGATCAAGATCGTGGCTTCGGGAACAAAGTATTCGCAATATTGTACAGTTATCTTGTTCCGACATAGAATCATGAAGTGATTGCTGCTTTCTGCCAATCCATCTGGTCTATTCAAATTAAAATGCTTTCGTCAGGAAAAATTATTCTGACAAACTAGCACATCCGTCTGATGGTTTTTAGTATTCCCCCTTACTCGATGCAAGACGTGAACTAAATTTCAGAATATGCCTGTAAGCCAGAATCAATGAGATTTCTTTCTGGTCCCGGGCACAAACACGCATGCATTTGATGCGTTATATGCGCAAGTTCATGCGATATGGGCATCAATTTGAATTGAATTTATTTCGATAGCCTCGTTTTGGTTTGGGTGAATTTTGCGCTCGCAGCCAATGACGACGACAAAGGTTTCAATTCATCGAAATACGTTTTGAGACGCGAAATTGCCAATGATGCATTTCAGCGCTCTCCTCACATAAACGAGTAACTGTGAATTGCAAAAATAGCAAAAAATTATATACATATATTGACGTAGTAATGTGTGTATACATACATATGTATAGCGTATACCTATTAAAAAAGTACGCATTAAAGTTACAACAACAAAAATAGTATATAATGGTACTTGCGTTGTCGGGCAGTTGAGAGATGGCGGCTATGTCGTCTCTCCGCTGTGTGCCGTGCTCAATTCGATTTGATACAAAATAAATTAAATTGAATTGTAATTGATAGAAATTCTTGAGATTGCATGTGCGCAGTCAGGCTAGGAATTTTGATGGTCCGGGGAGCCAAGTGATTTCGTACGGTAAGAGGTAATATTACGGGGAGTCACACAAACGATCGGTGAAATTGGTGGTAACGACACAAATTTGCATATTGGTATTATCTGACATGTTTCTATATACGATTGAATATAATATTAGCATTGTTGTGATAACTGGCTCAGAAGTTCGTCATTTTCAACGATACATTTAAACATTTTATAGCCGACTGTCAAGTACAGATGTTTATAACAGATGTAGGGAAAAGATAATAGTATGTAATTGAAGAGTCGATTTCCACTGTAAATTCATACCATCAACCGGTTTTTAAAAATTAGGGCTTAATAAAATATACATATGTATAAGTGTTCACACTATATGAAATATATTCCAATCAAATAATCAATAAACTTGTATTATATATACATATATATATATATAGAAGGTATTTACCGTTTTGTTTAATAACTTGGTGCCATTTTGTATGTAATTTCATAACGCCACTCTCATAGAACCTATTATTTATTGGCAAAAAACTGGGACAGTCGATTTTCACAAGCTTCTCTTGAGGCGAATTTCGGTCCAAACTAGAATGCATAAGAATCTCCTAACAAAGCTGTGGAGATTCTAGCGAGTTACTATTGTGAGGTATGTCGTTGTTCTGAGGGAACACGATTCCTCTCCTATTCTATTCACTACCGATTCCACCAAGGCACATTGTTTGCACCGGATCAACGCAATTCGATCACAACCGTTTTCGCTTGGTGTTGTCGTTAGTAACAAACTTTTCCTCACCAATAATCAGTTTCAGAAATGGATAAATATTGTTGCGATTCAGAAGCGATTCGGAGAATGAAATACCGTCCATAAGGTTTTTGTATTAACTCGTGTGGCACCCATTCCTCGGGATGTTTCTTGTATCCACGCTTATATAATATAATTCGTTTCAAACCTTTTTCGTGCAATGATTAACTCCTGAGAAATCAAAACGATGCTTACATAACGGTGAGAACCGGCGATTTCCATTGTTTTGTTGATTTTTTTAGTCATTTGCTTTTCAGAGTGTGGTGTATATTTGACATCAAAATTACATGGTATGAAATTTATCCTTAAAAATATCACACCGACCATAATTTGTCTATACAAATTTACATTAGGAAAATAAGTTTTTATAAAAAAAAACAGTAAAACCTTGGTTGAAAGAGTGGTTCGAAAAAACGCCTGACCATAAACGGTCGTACTTAAGTTATCAATAGGCTAATTTTGCTCCCAAGTAAGTACCGGTCATCAACACGCTGGGTTTGCTTAAATTTCTCAGTTCTTACCACTTTAAATGTTCAATTTCTGGAACATTGGGAGCAGTTCAAGAGTCCAGGGCAGACTCGTTTCCTTCTATATTTCCATATATTACATTTTTCAAAAGAAATTTAATATATATTTTTATAAATAATAAAGACATTTAAATACTTTAAGATTAAGTTATTTGCTATGAACAAACCATCACTATTAATTGCGTTAAAAGACGTTTTCTATGAGCAGGGATTACGCTAAAAGAGCGTAAGTGATCGTATACGTATACACACGGACTGTCTCTAATGGCACAAACAGTCACCGGCGCAAAACCGTGTCCGGAATTAGCTGATACGACCTATCTTATGAGAGCTTCAACAGACCGTATGGTAGGATATCTGCAAAAATTGGATTTTTTCCGTAGAAATGAGTGAGTTGAGAGTAAGAGAGCAATCTCTTGCAACGCAGGGTTGTCAATCTCGATATTTTGTAGTAATTAAAAAACTACAATATATTTGAAATTGAATATATTTGAAATATTCTTAAAATAACTCAAAATCACAGCCGAATACACTTACTTATAAATAGGCAAACTATTTTTATACTCTC